AAGATTTTACTACTTTCTTGTCGATAACAACATTCTAGGACCTTCCTGAGGGTTGATTAGTAGAGTAATAACACAAATTAATCAATTTGTGAGCTTTCGCAAATGGGTTATTTAAAACCAAATGTGCACATTGGGATTTTAGGGAATGCCATGAAAAATGTTTGATTGGTTGTGTTGGTTATTAATTGGACTGAATGCGGATATTTCTTCCCATCCCACATCCCATAACAAAAATTGTCTTACAGTGCATACTGCAAGAACCTAGAACACGGAAACAAAATCAAGTTTTGCTACTGAAAATGGTCCTCAAACTGAGCCGTTGCCTACAAACTTTCACCGCCCAGCATAAGCTTATATCTTATACATTAATGCGTAAGGACTATAGGGGAAGATGATACATAAAGTAGGTCAACGGAAGACCCCAGCGCGAATTAGGAGACTAGCAGGAAGCTGCCACTTTAGGGGAACAAGTGCGTAGTAATCACAGGATAGAGGAAGCGAAAATAGCCCATGAATAGCTTTGGGGGATATTAAGCATACGACTTTAATCAGACACGTCGCTAAATTTTCAGTAAGATTAGCTGTGTGGCCAGGTGGAAACGTTTTGCATACAGACGTCTTTTTTTGCTAACCTGGTCATAACGTCATGGTGGTCCTACTTGGAATTTGCCCACCCAGTGGGGCAACAAATAGTTCATTAAAACCTGCATGTGGTCGGCAATGGAAATCAGATCAATCCTCCTCGCAGTCTTTACAGTTAGCATAGGCTGTTGTTATTTACATTCCGTGTGTATTTTTACCACGGCTTCCTTGCACGTGTTTTCTATATCCAGAAATACGAAACAGAATAGCAGATGCGTTTGTAAAAATTCCGACGCTGGTTGCAAGTTCTTTTAGCAACCTACGTGATTCCCAACAGTTTAGAGCCAACCAAACACGCAATTTTACTTTTGAAAAGCATGAATTTTATATCAGACTGCACAAAAAGCCTTAACATATACGAAGTTAAGGTGATTACATCTTTCATTTTCTCCATTTAAAAGAAGGAGGGTTCTTATATTAGAAAAAAACCAGAGGTCCGTACTGTACTGGTCTCGTAGGCCAATATAAGACATTCGAAGAAAACCCCAGTTATTAATTTCGGATTCCTGTTAGAATTATTACTTTCAGTTAATAGTCTTTTCGGGAAGCAGTAATTTTTGCGGGTTTAGGTGAATTGGAAAGCGCAATAACATGCCTATTTCATATCTATACAAAACGGATGCCACTGGTCGTTTCAAGGAGGCACACAGATAAGTAACGTATGCAAATTACCCCTACAATTCGGACAATATTGCAGAAAATATCAGCTGCATCGATCAGCATGTGGAAATAAGAAATTCCTGAAACCAAGCGGCGTTCATGTGCAATAGCAATGCACACGTGTTTGTAAATTATTAGAGAAAACGGAAGGGGCGAGGAATAGAGCTTTGCAATTAGCTAATTAGTCCAATTGCTCAGTGTAGGAGAATGTATGCAGGTGCTGTAAAATGCGAACGAATAACAAAATAGGATAAAGAAAAGTTGTCGAAAAATAGAGTACCTAATTTCCGTGTTGGCATGCTAAAATTGCCATCGGGTCAAACGGTGAAAAAAAACTGCATAAATCGTTGTGGTGGGTTTCGCTGCGTTTTTTAAATTTTTTGTTGCGGAGAATGCCATAATAAAAGTGGTATGATATCATGTATGAGAAATCAGATCAATGAGCAAACGTGACACATCATTTTTAATAATTGGCTGTCAAGCAAAGCTTTCTTTCATGACAGTATTGTTTTTAGACACAGATAAATATTGTTGGCTCTCAAAACATATGATAATAATATACGTACTTATATATATATAGGCACTCGCAGAAATGATGTGCCGTGTGCGTCCTGGATAGCAAAACTGCGATTGAAAGAAAGGTTTTGATGACGGTAGATCATTTAATGCTCATGCATCTTCAAACTGAGAGCAAATACGGGGGCGTTATGTTTAAGAAACACCAGTAAGCCTAAATATATAAGGAGGCAAACAAATTTTAGATCATCGCGGACGATACCGTAAATACATTCACTCACGAAACCCAGGTAAACCGTTATTTCAAGAGCTATTATATGAGAACTAACTAGAAAGCAATATAATAAATTGCACATTTTCTTATTAACAGTTTTACCAATAGATAGATGCGAGTGTTTTGATTGCAGTCATCATCATTGGGATTATGGAAAAGGACGTTCAGCAGCGCAACTGCTTCCATGTCATCGCGTCAGTTAGAAATCACTTTTGGTGCTTTTTGAAAGACAGAAATCAAACGTATACAATTAAAAGTTATGACGAATGGATTTTAGAGTTTAGCTTTTGGATCTGCATTGTGTATTTATATGTAAAACAAGGAGTTGTCTACTAGTGACCATCGGGATGTGAGCAGCACATGTCAACAGTTTCGATTATGGTAAATCCTATTTGCACGCAAAATCGGAGAACCATAAAGAGCATATAACGCAAACACCTTTCTTCCACGGAGGAAACGAATCCATATTCAACTGGCGAGCAGAAAATACGTGGAATTCGCTTTACGAGTGAGTAACATTGCTAGTTTTTAAGTACCTCCAATTTGCTTGCAACAGTTTTCTTCGCATCGTGAATCAAATTCGGTATATAATACATAGTTTGGGATAGCCGAAATGGAAATTTAACCTAATTGCTTTAAATTTTTATGGCTGATTAAGCATTCCACATCATTAAACCAACGGGATTGTCTTCTTTTTTGTATTCATAAGGTCTTCCAGTTTAGATAATTTATGAAAGCCTTAATTTTGGGTAGGGATGTTGAAAGTTCCTTTTTTTCTGAAAATTGCGGTTTCGAGTGGAGTTTTAACCTTTTTCAACCCTTAAACCCAGTGGTCGAAGAAAATGAAGGTTTTATGAATTTATCATAAAAGGTTGAGAAATCGTTAATTTTTATTTACAAAAAGTATTTTGCTAAGACATTTTACGAATTAATTGCAAGTTTCGTTTCGGGAATGAAAGCAAGAAAAAAATGGCCTCTTGTAGACGCTTTTCTGATAACGAGTCGCATTGTTTTGCGTAAAGGAAAACACATTCAGCTTACATCGTTAAAATATTGCAGTACCCTCTACTCAGTCAATTTTTTAAACAGAAGAATTTCACAGATAGTCCAAGTAGACGTTTAACTATTTATTGTTTGACCACGTCACTAAATTAGCAATCCGAGATTGCTTACGCCAAAAATAACCGGCATTAATGTCGTGTTATGTATTTAAAACGTTTATTCGCCAGCTTTTTATGAAATAATAATATATGTTCTGTTTCCGATCTTAAGTTACCCCGCATTCACGAACCAGAATTTTCAAGAGCAAACTATTTATATTATTTAAAAAATAATTTGGTTCCTACTTTCTCTCCTCGGATTATTTAAGGCAAACGAAAACGCCGGCCAGCACATGAGAAAAACTGCTTCAATAACGTTTGTGCCTGAGCTATTGTTGAATACAGGATATTGGTACACGTCACTCATCGAAAGATACAAACTGCAGTTTCTTTTTTTATGTCTCCGTCCACACATGTCTTTGGCCTATTTCAGTAAATATAGTAATTTACGCGTGTACATGCAGTCTTTTAAAAGCAGACGTATGCCCAGCACATTATCTTGCTGATTTATTACTGGGAGGTTTTCTAACTCCCAAATATTCTGCTTCAGAAAGTAGCTTTGACACCTAATAGATAACCCGTGCTGAACGTCCGATTCACACTTTGTGAATAAAATAAAAGAGTACGACTGATGTGGTTAAAAAGCAAATGAGAGAATCAACCAGAATTCTCCCTGGTGTCATCCACGTTGTTTTATTCCTGGCCGTTGTTTTGACATTAAACGTTCAAAAAATATGCTTGAGCTTTCCTGACTAAATATCCATCGGTGCTCTTATTACTTCTCCATATTTGGATTTCACTACCTAAACCCGTCTTTTCGAGCTTCGCCAGATTGGCTAACAATGAAATACCCATTGACTTTCTTCATCTAAATATGATGTTGTGCATTGATTTTGGCATTTGGATTTCGAAGATGAAGTTCTTAATAATGGGCCTTTCTCAAAAACTATTTTAGGTTACGGTCAAGGAAGGAAGAAAAACCTGCAAATTCAAAGTCAGAACAAACTTCTCCGGGAAAATCCGCGCCTCCATGATCGACAAGAAGGACCCAAAATCCTTCATGCAATTTACCGAACAGGACATTGAGAAAATCCTTGCAGAAGATCCCCTACTACGACGTTGTGGCCTTCTAGAACAGGACAAGACGACCAAAAAGGTTTTCCTTGTCAGCGAGGGACAGTACACATTTCGGGTCAATGCTCAGCAAAAAGTTGAGGTGACACAGAAGACAAATGCTAAGAGCAATCACTCACCCTGAAAGAAAAGAAACTGTGAGCCTGTATAAACCACTCTTCCCTCTTTGCTAACTGAGTTTGAATGTTGCCCTATTACCTGGCCAGTTTTGGTGCCCTGTCTTTTAT